CCACCCTTTCCCCCCCCCCCGCAGCTGTGGGAGGCTGCGCGGCCTCCTGTGCACTCGAGGACTGCCACCTCCAGGAACGCCGGTGTGTCTCTACCAGCACGTACCCCCAGGTCATCCTCAGAAACCTGGATTCTCACCCTCGGGCTGTTCTCACCCAGATCCCGCAGTCATCACACAGCGAGATCCGGTCAAACAAGGGAACTTCCCTCCCCGCCACACCGCGGGAACTCAGTAACCGCCTTTGGCTGTGGGACAGCAGGACATTTGCCACCCAGACTTTGAACTGCTCGGTGCGGGCTCCAGCTCCTGCCTACAACAGAGAACGCTCTTTGCCTTCACGCACGGACACGTGCCTACATATTGTGGGCCCCTGCCCAGGCACTCTGAGTTTGCAGCAGTGGTCACTAATTAAACCTCCTTCTGCTCCAATTCCGTTGCTCAGACCCACGCTGCCTCCATCCCAGACGCACAAAAACCTTTTCTGAGCTTCATCAACCTGGAACTAGGCTAAACTGGCTGTTCAGGAATAATCAGATTAACGTGGACTCTAGTGAACAGCAAATCTCATTTCACACGCACGTGTCAAAGGAACTAAAATAAACAGGAAACATGAGGCAAAAAGTCTTCAAAGTTCAGCCAAATTCTTAGGAACATGAAGCTTTTCTGTGTTGTATTTGTGAACAAAAACCTTCGCCTTCGTGCTCCTTTAAGCTACATAACACCGCACTGCTGGCGTTACTGTAATTTCACCACAGGCACAAGGCAGACTGGGTCCTTGGGGGTTTCTGTGAATCATTAGATGTAGACTGAAGAATTTTTAAACACAAATTCACTGACTCGAGGAAACCAAACCGACTTCTCAAGGCTGTAGTTCAGTATTACTTAGCACTGCTGTTTCTCTGCCTTTGCGCACTAGCTACAGCGTTCTAACAGTTCTCACCTAAGGCAGAATAGTTGCGCTCCACGAGCTGCTAACACAGAACGGTTTGACTGCTACGCCGAGTGCTGCTTCTAAACCTAACGGTGCTGCTCCTGTAAATTAAAAAGTTGGACTTTTCCAACCTTAATGATTCTAATTACAAAACAACCTGATGAGCAGGTGTGAGGTGTAAACAGATACTCCTGTTTCACAGCATTACCGCAGACTAACTTTCAGTAACAACTTACTGCAAATAAACAACATCTCTTCTAGCTGAAATAAACTGCCCCTGCGTTTCAGGCAACACGGAGCTGTATCTGGGTAGGGGATCTGGGGGGTTTGATACAGATGTAACCCTGGCTGGAATTATGACACAGGGATTACCATTTTGCTGCTGGAAGAAAAAAAAGGCCTAGTTCTTGGCTGTAGTCACCCAGCCTGGCTTACAGAATACGGTAAGAAATTACCACATCAACATCTACAAAACCATAAGTCTTTAAAACTGGCAATTTAAGAACATGTGGAACCTCTGCGATACAGACACGAGACCTGACCACGTGTTACACAGCCAAGTTCCAAAGAATAACTCCGTTAAATCTGCAGGCATGTTTTCTTCTCTTGGCCATTCCTTTTTTCCCTACCCCCAAGGGAAACTAACAGGACACCTCTTCAGTTATTACAAGATACTCAACACTGCATTACAGTATCAGTATGTGAATATAGGGCAGATTTAGACGACAACGGTGTACAACTTGGTAAAATACAATCTCCCTGAAAAATACAAGCTGTTCAAAGCCATCACCATCACGCCTGGCTATCCAGGTCCTGTTTGTAACTGCCACTGGTTTAAAGTGGGACCTTCAGCAAAATAGTTACATCTGTTTCCCTGTTTGTAAGCTGGTGGTTGCCCATACTTCTCTTCCTCATACAACTGAGGACACACAGAATCACGTTATGCTCTGGTGCAGAAGCAGAGACGTCCACTGAAGACAGTTACATCATGGATTAACTCTTCTGTTTGTAAAGTGCATGGTACAATCAGCGTGTACCAAAATGAAAAATGGCCTAAAAATGAGCCCTTTGAAAGAGATACAGAGTGAGAGCAGAATGTCTTGCACTAAGGTTATGTATTTAACAGTTTTACATGAAATATTTATATATAAAAACTTTGTTAAGTGCTCTTCTCCAATTTAAAAATCTAAAGAATTCAAAAATAAGGCATTCAATATTTGAAAAAGTACAGATTTACAAAATGTGTATATTCTCTCATGAAAACTCCACATCAACATTATACACTTGGAAAAAAAATACAAACAGGATATATTACAAATTTATGTAGCAATAACTTAGTTCATACCATGCAATAAAAAGTACATTAATCAAGATACACAAGCTTTTAAGTTTCCTAAACTGGAGGGCTTAAATTTTGCTTGCAGATGAGTTTTTATGCAAATTCTTAGAACTGTGGCACTTGAAACTTCTGGTAGCCTTTCTATTGAGGGTTAAATTGTACGTAACGATTATGAGGATGGAGGGTCACCAAGCAGCTGTTAGGAATCATTCCAACTTTGTTCGACAATAGCGGAAACTCTTTTCTCATACTCGCGTTTGTTCTCCTGATAAAGTTGTGCTGCCTGACTGTTTGCTGGACTGTTTGGATTAGGTTCATCAAGCAGGGACTGTAAAAGGGAAAACAAAGCGTGAGACAAACCAACACATTCGAAATCCGGGAACAATCAACTTACAACTTTCAAATCACATGTGTTTCAGGAGGCAGACATGACTCAGAAGAGCCCAATTGAAAAAAAACAGTTAAAACTCATGGTTAGGCACCCACAATTACATTACTGAACCTCAAATTATACATTGCATAAGCATTAGCACTGTGTACTCTTCTAGGTTCACAAACCTAACAGATCCATGGTCATTTCTGCCAGTTAGTAGTATGATGCTAACTGATTATTTGGTAATTACACTACTGTTCTCATTCAGGACTAAGGAGGGGCTTGAGAGGCCTCCTACAAACTTCACTGTAGAAAAAGAAAAAAAAAAATCGCACAGGACAAAAGAAAAATGTGCATTTTTGCTGTGCCAGGCCATTCTGACTTATTGCAAGTACAGCAGGTTTCAGCAGTACTGTCTCCTTGAGGACTTCACAGGGCAAGGCTTCATGATAAAGGTTAGTGTTTCAAACACCACGCAAATTTCCGCATCTGATGTCCTATCTTGACTAAAACCAGTTAAAAAGGAATCCAAATCAGTAACCGTTTTCCTGTAAAAAATAGCTAAGGGCAGTTTTGTAACTCAAAATTATTAATTACATAGGGTTAGCACCTTAGCCTTGATTTGATCTAAAAAGCTAGTGCTTCGCTCACAAGTATTTTAAGTCTCCCTTGGTATAGATACCTGCTAGCCACATCACTGAGCCACGTATTCGGGAATAGAGACTAACAACAACATAATTATTTCCTAAAATAGCTGTAACGTTACCTGAATGGAAGTTAAAATAGATGAAACATCGTATGTTGGACTCCAGCGATTCTGAAGAATATCTAAACATATGCTACCATCCGCATAAACTGTGAATACAACACAGACACCATTTAGAAATTATCAGGTCTATTGTATAGTTTGTTCACTGCATAGTGCTCAAGGCAGAGTTGCTGTGCCAACTCAGTCTCTGCTTAAATTAATGCTTTAAGAAAGAGGACAGCAGTTATGTCTCATAATTTTCTGTAGTTTGACACCTTGTATTTCGGAGGAGATGTGTTACTGGAAGTAACACTTCAGAGAAAGTAAGGAAGGTCTAAAGACTATGGCATTGGCACAAGAACTGGACTTGGTTCCTTGCTCCTCTCGTGTGACTGGCCCGGACGCACACAGAGGTGAGCCCCCCTGGGAGCAGCCAGCCGGCCACTGCAGGGGTGGGACCCACTGCACCGCTGAGGATCTCGTGCTCTGAACGGACTCACGCACGGAACAGCAGCAGTTCTGGCCCCCTTTTCACACACTCTACGCTCACTAGGAGAGACACTCTGGCAGACGATCGAAAATATTGAAAAGCGTGCCTGGAGTCCTACTTCTGTCTGGATACCTATCAGCAGTCCTAATACAAGGGGCGGTATGAATCAGATTTGCCACACAAACTCCTACACCTTAGTTTTCTAGCTTGTTCATGCCAACAAAACCCAAGCAATTACAAAAACCCTGTCAGAGGCATACTGGCCTGCACATTACATGACAGATGAATGGTTAGACAGCTCTGTCTAAGAAATCACAGAACTGAAGCCAAGGTCACCTCTGTTCAAGCACAGCTTAAGTGACAAGAAATGCTGCACTGGGCTTCTGCTTCAACCCGCAAATCGAATCTGTACCCCCCTTTGCCACAGAGGGGCTTGCAAAAGCAGAAGGCATGGTTCGTGCTCTCTGCACGCAAGAATAACTGGATAAAACCTATCTAGTGCTGGAGCAGAAACCATGGCACTCTCTCACAATGCTGCCCTCCTCACTGCATTCGGGTCAGCCACCTCCTCTGCGCTCACCTACAACTGCGCGTTCTCACCGTCTTCCTTGTGCTAGCACTGGGTGGTACAGCGAGCCAAGGAAGGCACGGACTTGGCTGAAATCTCACCTGACAGAAATAAAGAACGTTCCTACTCCAATTCAGGATGCGGCTGCACACACAATTGCCGTTAAATGGAAGGGGGCAGGAACCAGAAAGCAGAATCACCTCTTTAAGCCAACCTAAGTGCAGCTGCTGCTGAAAATGCTCACAGGCTTTGCTACGGAGCCTAGATATTGATTAGGGAGAGACTGATAACTGCTGCTTAATGGCATCATAATTCTTAATTTTTCATCAACCGGCTGCTGTCCTAGACATCTACTGAGGAGGTGGCAATGAAGAGAGAAGGAGAGCTGTTAAGCGTTCTGGAGCTTCACAGAATACACGACTACACCATAATATTTAATGGGTATTATAGCTAAATAAAAATGATTTACTCACCATTTGGATGGAACATTTTTGATAAAAACCTAACAGTTGGAGGCTTATTTGGATATTCTTCTGAAAATTCTATTACTAGTTTAAAAGTACCTGTCCAAACAAACATAAATACAATCAGATAACTAACAACAAACACACACCTGCAGGAACATATACAACATAAGTTAATTTATGTGCTCCATGATCAGTATTTCTTCTCACCAGTAGATAAACAAACAACACTGAGCCTGGTTTCTCTTCACGTATTTCAAGGGATAATGGAACTACTACTTCGTGCTAGTAATAAAACCAGCCGCAGCAGCTGGGTAGAAGCTTGGAGACTCCCTGTTTACACGGCAAAGGCAGCTAGATCCAACACCAATTATCCCACCGCCCTCCCCTTTCTGAGTGGACCCAACACGCCGGTTCCATGGACTTTGGTGACTTTCAGGCGTTTCATTAAGAAGGCACTGTGGTGCCAGCAAAGAAACACTGGAATTTCATAATCGGCAATCTCAGTCTTTGGAGCTCATGACTGATTCACTGAAAACCTTTATCATGGATCAGTGAATAATTCACTGTAACTCCTCCAACCCAACACAGGGAGAAACCCATCTGCTGCCGATTACTGCAATAATACTGTAATTATTAAACTCATTATTCCTCATATGCCTAAGGGAGGCTCATTACACACCAACTTTCATGTTTATGCGCAAATTTGGTATTCCCTCCCCCTCACTGAGTTCTATATTCAGAACAATTCAAGATTTTTCACCTGTTCTTCATTAGAACAGAGATGAATCAAACATGCCACAAAGACGAAACCAGAGAAGCACACAGTCTTGTTGAGCTTCGCTATGCAGATGTGAAAACACATCTGGCAGCATGAGACCAACTTCCCCCACTAAAAGCTCTAGCGTATATGTACAAACAAGTCTTGATATAAGCATTACTTCCTAGCTTTCTTACTAACCATCAGCCACTAGGACAAGACACCGCTTACATCAAAACAAGTATTTTTACAGCCAACAAGACCTTACTCCTTCACTTGCTTGCTTAGTTTGTTCCAAATTATATGCAGGTAACATCTACTTTTTTTTCAAAGCAAAACAACATTAATACTGGCAATATTTATAACAATGACACAGGATATAAAAGTTGGTGGCTTACCATCTTCAAAAGGTGTCCCTTCTGGCCTGAAAGGTTTTAAAAATAAACTCCAATAAATAATAATGATTACATACTTCTAAACAGGCACAATAAATTTATATCTTCTTCCTCATCCTCCCCAAGATATCAGCAGAGGCAATAATTTAAATATTTGAAGAAGTATCCAGAGGCAACCTCCGAAAGCTTTGTCGTATCTCAGACACCATCCCATAGTCAAGCTGCTAGCTGAAATACCTACTTCATCACCATCCCAAACAATACATATGCCATGACGTGACAAGGTTGGAATTAACGAGCAAATTACTAGCAAGCATATTTCGCTTTTATGAAAGGATACTAAGCCAGTGTCTGTTCTGTGGGATACGTAACGTAACTTCCTAGACAGAACCTGCACCTGGTTCCACTGGGCATCAATCCAATCACTGCTAATACATCTGGATTTAACGGCCGAGAACTTGCAGCTCTCACGTACCTTAAAGAGGAAGGCTGCTTTTTCATAACCCAACTCCTACACAGTCTAACCTATTTATTAAGCCATATGCAAGCTTTCTTTGATAAAAAAGGCGATCAAGTATTAAATTTTTCTGTCCTATGCATTCTGTATTACCCCAGAAAACAGATTTTTACCCCAAGAGCACTCTTGGTCATTTTTCTAAGTTTCCTGACTTAAAGTATGTAAAAGAAGAGAATAATTGTAAAAACAAACCCAGGTTTTGTTATATTTAGCCCTTTGATATAGAATTTTATAGCAATCAAAAACTCTTACCCAAATATAACTGCATTCCATTGCATTATATTATTCTCAGATGGAGCACCACTGACACCCACAGGAGGGTCTTCTTGCAATCTAAGAATTACAAATAGAGAATGACAAGCCTTATATAAATGAAAAACTTCCACCTGCAAGTACAATGTAACAGTAATATCCAGATTTTGTAAATATTTTCTCACTCCAAGTCAGAGAATACACAAAGCATTACAGGCAGACTATCAATACTTGAAAAAACGAACCTACAAGATGACGCTCATCAAGATTCTCTCATGTATGGCACCAACACACTACAACAGCCCAACAGGTTAGATGGGGTGTGCATGGAGCAAAGCATTAACTCTAAGAAAAATTTCAAGCACCACATACAGCTGGGATTTACAGTACTACACAGCGAACTATGAAAGAGGAATTGCTGCTAGCTGCCACAAGGAAGAGGACAAATTACAAACAGGAGCTGAAACCCAGCCCGTGACACTTAGACAGCACGCTTGCAGGGACTGAGTGCACGGGACTGTCAGGGGAGCTTCGCCTGCACTCCCAGAGCCGTGTGCGCACCGTGGCTAGGTTTGTTATAAGCCTACTCTGACTGGCAAGCCAATTGCTTGAAAAGGGAGCGAGGGGAAAGCCTGCATACTGCTCCTTCTTACCAGTTCAACAAATGTGTTTATCTCTAAAGTAATCGTGGAAGCATTTTAAATTCTTTGTAGTTCCTTAATCCTTGAACTAAGGAACAGCACGTTACTCACTGAAAGCCACATAAACCTGGACCGCACAGAATACACGTATTGCAACCAAAGAACAGGATGGAGATATCCTCCTTCTGCCCGTCCTTCTGCATAGCGATGCTCCTGCTCAAAGATCGCCCGAGACCCTGAACAATGTAAACCAGCAAGCCCCAATCATCCGATGCACAATCTGCCCGACCAAACAAACCCCTTCAGTGACAGCTCCTACCCACCCCACCTATTCAGCCTCGTGAGTTATGCAAGAATAAAGAAAATGTAGTGACTGCCCTTGCTTCAACAGCAATTCTTTAACATTACTGTGAGGTTTGACCACATTGCAGTGCACCGTTACGAGCACGTTGCCACCAAAAGCCCTGCAGGCCAAGGGACAAATTCATCCATCGGTGTGTAAACGCAGATTTATTCAGAGCTGACGCTGACAGACAGACAGTCAGTGCTCCTGCACTTGCACTGCTTAAATCTGTGAGAAAACTGCACTTGTATGTGGATGCTGAGCAAAGAGGTCGCCCTGCAGAGAGAGCCCAGAAGCCAGGCTCGCTCCATTTGCAGCTCTGATCCCCTCTGAACTCCGTGTTTACATCCTTGCTCTCCAAGCACACGTGGTTCAGACAGCTCGGTATCAACAGCATAAACCACCTACTATTTTGGTCAGGGAGAGCAGGAACAGGACTTCTTCCTACGTGACAGCCAGGCTGCATACCAAAAATAATGCCTAAGCATTCAGCCTGACAAACGCGTCTGACGGATGGCTTTGGTTTTTAGCTCAATTTAAAGCTGAGGTGCACCCTGCTGTCAAAGGGTCTAACTACAGAAAGGTTGTGGCAGGGACTGGAAATTAGACTGATCCAAAAAGCACCTGGAAATCTTCAACAGATAAGGAAAATGTAGTATTTGTAACCCTTTTTAACAGCAAAAAATAATAACAACTAAAAAAACCCCACATCTTATTTTTCTGTTGGTTTAGTCAAACAAATTAGAGGACGTACAAAATCTGTTGAACTGTTCTCTCTCCGCTGCTCTTGACAATCACCGTATGCAGAAGGAGTTTATATTTAACAAAGTGAATCAGAGTTCACAGCACACAGACTGCTTTTTCAATATGAGGTACAAGTAACATCAGGCTAAACATACATAACTTCCAGTAGGAAAGAGAAGAGTAAAAAAATCTACATTAAAAAGTTGCGTAAGTTTGGGGTATCAAAGTTGTCATATATTTGATAAATAAATCTGATTTACTTTGTGTTTACTTGGTTATAATTTTCCATAGCTTTAAAGCCTTCTCTTCATCTCAAATTTCAAAATTATTAAACCAGTCCTCCTAAGATTATACAGTCACAACAAACATGTCCAATTGCAATCCTGAAAAATCACTTAGTTCCTCACCCTGAAAAAAATCACTGCTTTGTGTCATCCGTGTAACCAAATGCAGTAGGAAGGACTGAATATCCTGGTTTTATCTGAAGAGGGGACAAGCAACACCGGCTGAGCAAACACCAACCCCAAACACAACAGGGGAGGCAGGCTCCACATCTCAAAACTGCCCAGCTTTACTTTGTGGACTCACAAGTCAGGCTTTTACCCCTGTAGTTTTACATGCAGTCACCTAAAGCAACTACAATACACGTCAACTGTTTGGTGATGTATTTCCAGGTACTGATACAACATAGCTGTGCTAAAAAAAGCAACACTATCAAAGCTGACTCATGTCCAACAACTCAGGAGCAGCTCCAGTCCAGAGAAATCACTCGACATACTGTAAGCCTTACAAAAGAAACCCCCACCTTTTTGCACGCTCTCTAAGTGTGTTTACATGTCAGACGGGAAATCAATTATTCTAGAGTCTGTGGTTTAGTCATTAACATTTAAAAGAGTGCAACTATTCACTGCTTCTTTACCAGTTTGTATGTGTTACAGCAGATTCCTCGTGACTGAAAACTTCAGACAGACTAGCATGAGCACAAAAACATTACAGGGCGTTTTGGTTTTCACTCCGCGCAGACGAACGAAGCGTTCGCTAACTCTGCGGTTCGCTGTCAGGTGCCCGTCCCCAACCCCCCCCTCCTCGGAGAGACCGTCAGCCCGGCCTGCCTCCCACACCCCCAGCTCTGCCCAGTCTCTTCA